GTAATATCATATGGAAAATGTTTTCCAATTCGATCATCTTAAAAGTCACTATTCAGACTTTTAAAATGAGAATAATTAAAGTCTTTTATTCCAAAAATCTCCAAATATAAAAATGTCAAACAAAAAGCAGTTGAGTCTCTCGAAATGTTTAAATAGTTATTTAAGATATAAGATAAAATTAAAATAATCAAATTCTTCTTTATCTTATTTTCTATTAATATCAATTTGAAATGAAATGTTTTCTTTATCAGAATAAACTTAACTCTATCCTTCGTTGCTCAAATATCACAATAGAAATATTTTATTTTTCAGTCTTTAATCGTAATTGTAAGATAAGTTTAAGAGCTGGTTTCCTACGTAAAAGTCGTTCTATTTAGATATTTGAAAATATTCTAAGAGACACGTTTTTTTCCACGTGGTTGCGTTTCGTTATTTTGTTCGTAACGAGAAAAAAATATTTCTAAAGCTTACAATTATCGTTTTTTCTTGTTCTGTCAAACAACCATCTATAAGGTCACTCTTCTTTACGTTTATATTTTAATATTATCGTTGATTGCTCTTACTTAAAATCATATGTGGTCAAGAAAACCAATGAACCAAGACGGATAGATAAGTCATGAAAAGAAAAGAGAAAAATAATGTTATTTTTATCGATTTTATTTATGGAAGAAAAATCAAGTCAATTTTTAAATACAATCAAAATCTTTGTTCATTTATTTTGCAATATAGAATCAATTATCTTAGATTTTTTAACTATCTCGATTCCCGATGATTTATCCATCGACATCATTTTTTTTATCATCAGAATCATCTGAAATTCAGCGATCTGTTACAAATGGTCGGTAATTCTATCACTTCATTTAAAATTTCTTTAACTTCGAGAAAGAGAAAATAATAAGTGTGAGTTATTTATTCACTCAAAACTGATTTAATAAATGATTTAGTCAAGAAATCTTCGCCTTATATTCTAATAATTGTCAAGTTATCATGAAAATAAAAAGAGATAATGATGCTTATTTATTTCAAATTTTTATTTTAAACACTACTAACTTACATTTGTTTTATCTAACTTCTATGATAATAGACGGGTATGATTAACGATAAGTGTAAATATGATGTATTTGAAAAGATCTATTCTAGTATCAAATCCATCTTTTTCGTTTCAACCACATCATTTGTAAGATATCTTTTTTTCTTTCAAAATGAAATCAATATTGATTTTTATCTGCGCACATATATCGACCTTTTCATATTGTATAGAAATCAAAGATAAAGAAATGATTATTTATTTTCAATATATACTTTAAGAAAATAATTCTAATTAATTGTTTGTTCATAGATTATATCTACAGTCAATCCTTCAGCTCCTATTCTGTTAAATAACAAATAACTTCGACATATATTCATAAAAGACAATGAAAAAGTTATTCGAGTTTTCACTTAAATAAAATAAATAAAAAAATTATTAGTGTTACACGAAATATTACGCAAGATTTTTTTAATTTCTAATTCTCTTAAAATATTACAGCTTGACTTGAAACATTATTCATTCTATTTAACTATTGTTCATATTATCACCATTAGAAAATAAATCCTATAAAAATCTCCGACGAGTTTCATCGTTACATCCTATGTCATGAAAATCATGTTTAATCATCGATTTTAGTAATCAATTCTAAACTACAAATTTATTATTCAAGAATTTTGTAAATTGAAGAGTCAGATATAATCACAGACATTTGAAGCAAAAAAAAAGATTCTTTTTGTTATGAATGTGACTACTATGACATAAATGACATCGAATAATTTAAAAAAAAAAAAGATCGTACTGTAAGCCTTGTCATCACAATCATTCGTTTCAAAACGTTTCTTTGCGACAACGCATAGTTTATTTTAAATGATTCTATATTAATCTATAATTCTACTTCTCACTTATGTTTTTTCATTCTTTTCTCGAGATTTTTAATTGATGAGCGATGATAAATATGCACAGAAGCCTTTCACAAATAAACAAAAACAACTCATCGTTTTTAAGGAATTTTTTCCGCCCTATATCAAATTGCATATAGGGTTATTGTTTATCTATTTTATTACATAATTTCTATGCAGAAATTAATGTGAATATTTAATTTTATAATAAAAACATTGCTCAATTAATTAAACTAGTAATAAGACCTTCAAAATTTAACAAGAAAATAAAAGTTCACGTGTAAATAATCTTATAGTTTACCGCTAAAAATGAAGAAGAAAATCATTGAAGATTAATCACTGATTTTGAGTACATGAAATAACTTTTTTATAGCTAATGTCAATTGCAATCGACGAAGAAATTTCTTATTACACAAACAAGATTAAAGATTCAGACTAAAAATCTGATAAAAAAATTCAGCATTAGATGTTTTGTATACTAATCAACAAGATTAAATCTCAAATTTTTAAAAAAAATCTCTCGTATATTAGATAGTTTAATAGTAATAATCAGAAAAGACGAAACATTTTTTCCTTTAGTATAATATTGTACAATGTATTAACAATGAGATAAAAAGGTTTTCATAAAACAATTTAAGAATATTGTAATTCATCTATATATAGATTTAGGTAGAGATTTGTAACTAGGAGTTGTTACATAAAAATGTTTTCTTTTTGTAAAATAATTATTCAATCTATTTAACTTTCGTACTAATGTTATTTTCTTTAATCTATGTACAAAATTTGAAAGGAATTATTTTATGTTAAAAGAAAATAATATAAATAGATTCTTTTGAATGAAAATCTTATCTAAAAACTATAGAGAAATATTCAACAACTGCTACATGTATATTTATTTTGTGCATTATTCATTTTCATGTTCTTCATTTCTTCGACGATACTTAATTGTATTTCTCATACTTTTCTTCGTTGTTCAAATAACGATATTTGGAACGAAATGTTTTTTTTCTTTCTTATATGTTCTCTGTTAGTCATCATTTTTCTTATCCTTGATAAATCTATTCAGAAATAACTATATAAAAAGAACTAATAACTATTTTCATATTTTCAGTATAGTTATCAATATGAGTTATGTCTAAATGGAAATATCAAAGGAAAATAATCGAAAAAATTTTTCGTCTAAGATTTAATATTTTTATTGTGCTTTTCTTTTATTTGAAAATATTCTTCGAACTTCTATCAAATACATTGATCATTCTTATCATTGATATATGCTCGTTCGATGTAGTTTCATATCGAAATATCGAAGAATTCGTTAGAAAATAACAATTTTCTTTTAATATCAATGTCAAATAGACAGTAAAGACAATATATATTCATCCTCAAGACGATTAACTATCCATATTATATCAACAATTGCTCATTATCTCTTATCGAATAAATCAAACACTAAAAATCTTCATATCAAGTTTGTGACATTAAAGTTCATGATGATAATGATAGATCAAATATTTCTATTGATACAATCAATCATCACATGAACCTTAGATTTAATTTCATCTATTTTCTTAAATAAACAAGAGAAATATAGAAAATATTTCGATAAATCAAGTAAACGAATACTATTCTATGTTTAAATAACGACGATCATTATTTCTAGCATTTACTTAAATGAATATTTGTTCAATTTATTTCTTTTATTCCTATCGAAATTATTAAAAGAGAAGGCAAAAATGAAGAAGAGAGAAACAAACACACATCGATGATACATATATCCTATTACTGCACAGTGGATTCAGATAAAAGAGTAGGTGAAGATGTAGCTCTGGATAGACATGCACCAAACTCAAATTCAAACTGCCAACGAGTTGGCAGTTTAGGTTTGAATTTAAGTTTAGATCTAGTAGTAAGATTAACGAAGTGTTTTTATTTCTAATTTATATCTGTATTCTTTTAGTTTATCTCTTTCTTACACTAGTTGATCACATATGACTATAACACAAAGAAGTATCGATCAGCGTTATTAGGATCGATGGTGGGTGTGGATATGAATGAAAAAGAAGAAGAGACATACATCCACACCCACCCGCAAAATTATGAGAAAAGGTGAAAAATATGAACGAATATCTTTTTTTTTTCTTTTCTTTCAAGTATGAATAAAATATTTCGATGCGATCGAAACAGAACGAAAAGAAAGGAAAAGAAAAGAAAAGAAAAAAAAAGAAAAGAAAATATAAAATCTGATTACCTTCTAATAAATTATTCGATTGGTTTTTGTTCATATTCGGTGGTTGATCAGATGAAGTTATACGAATAGCTGTTGTACCCATAACTTGACCACTATTACATCTTAATCATGCTTGTATTACTTGAGATGGTTCATAAGTAACTGTTGGTTCAACAGCATATAATTTATGTTGAACAAATAGATCAAATGTTTCTTCAAGTATAATATGAATAAGAGATGATATATGATCAACAAAATCCAGCGAAATCAGTCTACCATATCTGATGGTAATAGTTCTTCTTCACTATCTTCTTCGATCCATGTTAATTCAGAAAGAAAACAAGATCGTGGTACACAAAGACGAAATGGTTTTTGATCTGCATCTCGTTTACGAATAATAGGTATTTGTTCGTATTTAGATTTCTTTTGTTCATCATTATTTTGTAACATTTCATAATGCCATGTTAAATGTTGAACTTCATTTTGATTTGTACCATTAAGACGAAGAACAACTTGGCAAGTATCAGTTGAATATCTTGAATTAATCATATATTCTATTAAAGTATGAATAAATATTAATTTATTATTTAATGATGTTCGAAGATCAATAAGTTTTAATCGATTTCGTTCATATTCAGTTATTAAACTTCGTGCAAGACCAATAAATGGTAATGCAATTATATTAAGATTCGAATCATTATTAAATTGAGCATGATCTGTAAGAACATATACAAATGGATAAAAATATGGTGATGATTTTTGAATTGTTTGAAGAATTCATGATAATGTTCCACATATAAGTTCTTCATTTTGTTTCAATACTAAATCGTCATCATTATTTTCATTCAATAATACTTGATCAAGTTGCCATGCAAAAATAATAGATACTTGTTTATAAGTAGTTAATAAAACTGATATTCCAAAACAAATAGTATCTAAAGTTGAATGACGAATATGAAATATTTTAATATTTGAACATGGTAACAATGATGATAGAATATGACCAAAACTATTATTATCATCTTTAATAAATATTAACCATAACTGATTTTTTCTTTCATCAAGTCTTTGTAATCTTTCATTCGACGTTGTTTTTTGACTAATAATTAATGTACTTTCATTTTGATTTGTTGTTGATTCAATAATATGAAATCTTTCGATTTGTTCTAATAATATCACCCATTGTTGAATATTTTTTAATGCACAATTATCATCATCAGATGATGACCACCATTGATCATTAAAACCAAAAATAAGATCAAAATTAAGAGGAACATGAACTAATTCAAGTAATAAAAGGAGACCATTAGGAACAAGTAAACGACGAAGAGCAACTAAAGAATTTGTTAAATCTTGATTTCCTTGAAGTTGATTTACAGAAAATATAATATCAAATGATTCGAATGGTATTTTTTCAAGTGTTTTACTATCATATAAATCAATTGTTTCATCATAAATAATAGATAAATTTTTTGTTTGATTAGTTAGATGTGTATTAAATGTTTGTTGAGCATTTGCAAGTTGTACTGGATCAGAATCTGCATAATGTAAATCAATTAATAAACCTGTTTATTGTGATAAATTAAGAAGAAGTTCAAGAATTGGTAAAACATCTGAACAATCACTATCAGTTAACCAAAATATACATAATCGATAATTCTCAAATGAATTATCTTTAGTTTGTTGTTGTTGTTCATATTGTAATTTTAAATATTGACAAATCGAATGAAAAATTTGTTCAATTTCATCATCACCAACAAATATATCTAAACCATTTTTTTCTCCACTAAGAATATCTTTTAAATGTAAACCATATTTGTTTAATATGTTTAAAAATGGTTTTAAACGAGGAAAACGTTGAATTAATTGAATAAGACGAAGTTGTGTTGAATGCCATGTTACTTCTTCATGTAAAGTTGAAGCAAGAGAATGACACGCATTTAATAATGGATGATGTTGTTGATTCAAATCAAGATCTTTAATTGCCATTTGAGCATAATAAGTAGTTAATTCATTAAATGGTTCTATTGATTCAATTAAATCTTGATTACTAATAGAATTAAGTTGATTATTAAGAATAATTTTGGGTGATGGAAGTAAATGTGATATATGTTTTATTGTTGGTGAATCAGTCCATACTCTTTTCATACAATAATCTTTTATAATTGTATCTAAATATGGTTTATAATCAGTATTAGGTAAATCAGTTCTTAGATTTAATTTATCATAAATTGTTTTTTCCATTGACCATCGACCAGATTGTATACCTTGAACTTATTGAATAACAGCACCTTCAAATGTAAATATTGGTTCTTCGATTTTATTCTCCATTGGAAATATCCATAGATCAAGACTATATATTTCTGCTTGGTCTATACCACATATATTATCATAATAGTTTCCACATACTTCGATATTTGTTGACTGATTCGTTTTTATTTTTGTTTTACTTGAATAAATAGATTTTGGAATACGTACTGGAAGAAATGTTGTTTCAACACGTGGTAATAGAACTAGATATGGATGCAGTAAATAATAAGATGAACAATTATTATTATCATTTGATAATTGAGGTATAATTGTAGTTGAAGTACCACGTTATGTTTTTATTTTTTTTTGAGAACTAGTTCCATATTGATAAGCACGTGTTGAAAGATGTGCATAAGCACTTGGTATATGTTGTGCTGTCCATGTATTAGGTATTGTTAATGATTTTTGTTGTTTAGAATCTATTTCAATTTTGCCTGGTGCATGTAAAGTAAATTCATTTAATGATTATTTATTAAAATTATCTTGATTACAAAATATAATATACCATTTACGCACTGGCATAATTATTTGTATAAATACTTCCATCAATTCATGTTCATTAAGAATAAGTGCTTTGTTATAGTTTACGTCTTCAAAAATAAGTGTTAGTTGTTGTTGATCATCTTCTTTTGATGAAACTAATTGTTGACAAGCAGCTGTTGCAAGTTCAAGATAAGCAACAGCTGGAAAAAGAATTGCATCTTGAATTTTATGATCTTTTAAGAAAGAATGTTG